GCAGATATGAAGCCACACAACATAAGCAACTTATCTTTGACAAAGCACTAAAAATATACAGATAAGGAAATAGCAGCCTACTTCAACAAAAACTGCTGGTAAAAACTGGTTAGCAGTCTGCAAAAAACTGAAACTAGATCCATGTATATCACCCTATACCAAGATTAACTCAAAATGATCAAGATCTTAAATCAGAACCCCAAACTCTTAAGTTGATACAAAAGAGTAGGAATACTCTGGAGTTAGTAGGTATAGGATAAGAACTTTCTCAATGAAACCCCAGCAGCCACAGCAACTAAGAGATAGCATAGATAAATGGGACCTCATAAAACTAAAAAGCTTCTGTTCATCAAAAGAAATGGTCTCTAAACTGAAGAAACACCCACAGAGTGGGAGAAAATATTGCCAACTATACATCAGACAAAGGACTGATAACCAGAATATACAGGAACTTAAAAAACTAAATTCTCCCAAAACTAATGAACCAAGAAGAAATGGCAGTGAACTAAATAGAACTTTCTCAAAAGAAGAAATTCAAATGGCCAGAAAACACATGAAAAAATGCTCACCATCTCTAGCAATAAAGGAAATGCAAATTAAAACCACGCTAAGATTCCACCTCACCCCTGTTAGGAATAGCCATCATCAGCAACACCACCAACAAAACAGGTGTTGGCGAGGATGCGGGGAAAAAGGAACCCTCTTACATGTTGGTGGGAATGTAGACTAGTACAACCACTCTGGAAAAAAATCTGGAGGCTACTTAAAAAGCTGGACATCGATCTACCATTTGATCCAGCAATACCACTCTTGGGATATATCCAAAAGACTGTGACACATTACTCCAGAGGCACCTGCACCAACCATGTTTATTGCGGCACTATTCACAATAGCCAAGTTATGGAAACAGCCAAGATGTCCACCCACTGACGAATGGATTAAGAAAATGTGGTATCTATACACAATGGAATTTTATGCAGCCATGAGAAGAACGAAATGTTATCATTCGCTGGTAAATGGATGGAATTGAGAACATCATTCTGAGTGAGGTTAGCCTGGCTCAAAAAACCAAAAATCGTATGTTCTCCCTCATATGTGGACATTAGATCAAGGGCAAACACAACAAGGGGATTGGACTATGAGCACATGATAAAAGCAGAGCACACAAGAGGGATGAGGATAGGTAAGACACCTAAAAACTAGCTAGCATTTGTTGCCCTTAACACAGAGAAAACTAAGCAGATACCTTAAAGCAACTGAGGCCAATAGAAAAGGGAACAGTACTAGAGAAAGGTTAGATCAAAAAGAATCAACCTAGAAGGTAACACCCACACACAGGAAATCAATGTGAGTCAATGCCCTGTATAGCTATCCTTATCAACCAACAAAAACCCTTGTTCCTTCCTATTATTGCTTATACTCCTCTACTACAACAAAATTAGAAATAAGGCAAAATAGTTTCTGCGGGTATTGAGGGGCGAGAGGGAGGGGCGAGTGGGTGTAAGGGAAGGGGGTGGGGGCTGTGGGGAGAAATGAACCAATCCTTGTATGCACATATGAATAATAAAAGAAAAATGAAAAAAAAAAGGAGAATAGATATATAAATTGTAATAATTTTATGCTTTGGAATGCTCTATAGCAGTGAAAAAAGAATGAGTTAGAGCTACATCTATCAACCGGGATAAATCACACAAACATAATGTCTAGTAAGTAAAGCAAATTGCACAAGGCACGTACAGAGTAATAGTATTTATTCCAAGTATTACACATTGTTTAGAGATAGATAACATGTATAGTAAATGAATAGAGACATGCATAGAAATGATCAAGACCAAATCAGAGACAGCGAAAACCTTGAGATGGAGGAGAACACATGAGGGCTTTGATTGTACTGGGAATGCCTTATTTCATAAGTTTAGTAGGGGGCGTATCCTTGTTGTTATATTATTCCTTAAATGCTTTTTTTGAGGCTGTCACTATGTAGCCCAGGCTGACCCTAAACTATTGATCCTCCTGCCTCCACCTCCTGATTGCTGGGATTACAGGCATGTACCAGCATGCGTGGTTTGTTGATGTATTTTTGAAACATTTAAAAATTTTTTAAAAGAGTAATTGCTAAATACAGAGGTATCTTGTCACCTGGAAGTGAGGAAAATCTCCATCTTTTGAAGTTTTCAGGAGCCCAAACTTCCTGAATGCATCAAAATTAAAGAACTCATTGAATCCAATCATTCACTATGGGACAGGTGATTGCATACCATACGTGGAATGATCATTTATAAGTTCTTGTTTATATTTTTGCCTGGGTTTACTTGCATAAGGCCTCTCATAGTACTTAGTATAAGAATTTGAACACAGAACCCTTGTGGCATACAAGTAGGATCAATAGAAGCAGATAGTATTTTACAAAGCATAGAATATATGTAAATAAGGCATTGACTTAGTTTTGGTTTATTGTTGGTGTTTGACTGTGCTTGCAGCTGGGTTAGTGAGACTGTCTTGGAGAAGAGGGATCAGATCCTCACATCCTGTCAGTGAGGCGGGCCTTGGAGAGTGAGAAAGTGCCCACAGAGGAAGAAGTAAAGATTTAAATTGTTTCAGGAGAATAAGGGACTTGACTAAATGTCTTCTGTTGTTACTTCTTGCTGAAGATGTTTGTAGCTCCTGCCAAGCACCTCCAGCAAAGGAGTTCCCACTGGCCAGGTTTGCAGGTTTGGGGGTCGATCACATTCAAAGTCCAGGGCTAAGCAGTCCATGTGTCCTGCTGTTCCCCCTCCCCCCACTTCCCACTGAGTTGTCAAAGCTGCCCAGAGCAAAAGGAATACCTTTTGAAGTGGCTTCTTCACACTTTAGGGTGAGGGCAGGGTATTGAAAAGCTGAAATATATGCAAAGAAAACTAGGTTTTCCAGGCTTCCTGTCCTGGGGCGCTGGGTTTTTATTGTTTTGTCTGCTTAAATTAAAGTTATTTTTTTCCTGCTAAAGATTTTTCAAAAATATTTTATATTGTCAAAGCCATATATACTTATTATAAGAAAGTTGAAAAATACAGAAAGTTGGAGGAAAACCAAAATTTCATTTAGTTTTACCACTTACAAATACTCATAATATTTTGCATGTTTCCTTGTAATCTTTTCCTCACACATATCCCATTTCCATTAATTGTGTGATCATCTTTTATTCAGAATGTTGAACTCTACTTTCAATTAATATTATAGTATAAGCATTTCCCTGTCATAAACTATGTATAAATATCAGTTTGACTGGCTATGTTTCACTTGTAGGACTATGCTATAATTCACTTAATCATGGAACCATTCTTTTTCCAGTATTTTATTATTCTAGGTAATACTAGGATGAACATAGTTGAACAAAAACATTGTGTCCATCTCTTTTTCCTTAGGACACATTCAGTCATTCATTAGAAAACTGTTACTCAAGGCCTCCTTGTGCCAAGTATTATGCTAAGTGCCAAGTTTCTGTCTTGAGTGGCACGTTGTCATTTACTGAGAAAGGAAACACTGGAGGAATAGCGGGTTCAACTGTGGATGTGTTGAGTTTGACGTGCCTACAGAATATCCAAGTGGAGATGTCAGGAAGAGCTTGGGCTAGCAGAGTGGCTCAAAGTGGTAGAGCGCCTGCCTAGCAAGCATGATGACTGAGTTCAAACCATAGTACTGCCAAAAAAAAAAAAAAAAAGGAAAGAAAGGAAACAGAGGTCAGTGAAGTTGTCTGGGTAGAATTATAGAATTACAGTTGTGGTCATGTAGATGGTAATTAAAGCCAAGTGAGTGAAAGGGTTCATTTAGGGAGAGAGTATTTTTATCCTCATTCTGAGAATGACTTTCAGAGGTCAGACAGCAGAAGAACCTAAAAAGAAGACCAAGAAGAGGGCAAAGGAGTTGGGAGGAGTCATCAAGGAGAAGGAAATGGTTAAATGTTGAATGTAGGGGAGAGGTCAGGCATGATAGGACTGATAATGCCTTATTTATTTATTTATTGAGAGACTTATTGATGCAGAGGTCATTGGTTGGGTAATTACATACAGCTTCAGTAGTGAAGGAAGCCAGATAGCTGAGGGTTGGGAAATGAATGAGAAGTGAGGGAAGGAAAATTACGAACACACCTGTAAAGCGCATTTTCAATAAATTTACCCATAGAGAGGAGCTGGAGCGGGATCTCTCATGCAGGCAGGGAATACACAGGTTTAATTGGTGATGGCAGATGAGAGATTTGAGCATGCTTAATGGCTGAGTTGAAGAAAGGAGGGAAAGAGAGGAAGGAGAAGATTTGTAATTACTGTGTAGATATAAACATTTTTAAGTCTATTTGCTTGATGCTTTCTAAAAGGGCTTTTAACCAACATATATTCCTACCAGTAATTATGAGAGAGCTTGTTTGGTGGTCACTTTGTCATCATGTTATTGGAAAAAAAAATCCCACCACAGAATCTCATGATTGTTTTAATTTGCTCTTCTTTAATTTCTAGTGAGTTGAATATTTTAACTAATTGTGTTCCTGAGTGTGAATATGTGAATTTAGTCTATGTCCTTTGCTTAAAACGTTTCTAGTTTATACAGGCACTTTGATTTGCCTTATTAAGAATTGAAAGTCAGAGTGAGAATGGTACATGTTTCTTCTTCCCAAAATATAGTTCAGATTCTTTTATTTTCTTAGAAGTAAGTAAAAATTCGACAACTTTTGGCTAAGTTGAACCAAAGAGATAGGTAACTTTACTACTGAGAGAACGATCACAGGTGGAAGTGAGTGGAGGGGGGTGGGGAAGAAGCACTTCTAGTCTTAGGGGCCCCAAGCTCCCTTTCCTAACCCAGGAGGACATTCCACCAGTGCCTTAAGGCTTTAGCTCCCAGAACTCTCCTTCGTGCTAAGTGCCCCACTAAAGGATCCCGGAGCACAGTGCGGCCCCTTTAAGAGTCCAGCTCCTCCCCGCTCCAGGGAAAGTTGCAGCTTTTTCCGCCTCCTGGGAGGGTGAGAAGGGCCGGCTGCCCAGGCAGGGTTGCGGTCTTCCCGAAGCCGGAGACCCTCCCTTGAATCAGGCACTGGGATTTCTAGTCTTTACAGTGCACCTGTTGCAGGTGACAGGTAGGTCCTCAGCCAGCCGCCCCCTCCCTCTCCATCTGGGACTGTTTCTGGGTCCCTGGCCCCTTTTCGCTGCTGAAGTGCCCCCACCCCCATCCCGGGGACCTGCGTCCTTCTCTCCAGCTCCTTCCACTGTCCCTGTCTTTCCTACACCCCAGCTGACCCTCATTCCCTCTGCGGTGTCTGCTTCTCGCCACCGCACCCCCAACGCTTTGACTGGAGTTTGGGCGGTCCCGCCCTGCCACTTTACTTTTTCTCGGGGTTCTTTTGGCTGGTTCCCTCGTCCACCCTTAGCCAACCGCCGCCTTTGTCCCTCTGGGTTCTGCCTTCCCGCTGTCATCCCTGACGCAGAGTGGACGGGCTTTTCCCGCCAGACGGGGCCCCCCTAGAGAGCTGGCCCTGGGGGCCGAACTCCTAGCGGGAATTGTGCCCTGAGAGATGTCCGTGGGCTCCTCTCGCAGCACTCGGCTATGGCGGGGGTGGGGGGGAGTCTGTGCCCCACACTGTCTCCAAACCTCCCATCTCGAAGGCACTTTGGTTTTCCTGGCTGTGGCTGCTTGGTGGCGGGTAAAGCCTGGTGGCTGTTTGGCCCCGTGTCCTGCCTCAGTGGGGCTTTCTTTGCGCTTAACCCAGCTGTGTACTCTGAAGCTGACCTGCTTTATCTTTGTCGCCCTTCAAGCAGGCTGTGTGGATTTGTTCCTGGAGGAGGGTCTCCAGAGCCCTCAGAAGGGATACAGTCCAATTCTGTCTCCTGTGATGGTTTGTAAAGAGGTAGAAAAGGTATTCCTCCAGCCTGTAACATTGGATAAGACAGGGTTTTGGAGGTGAAATCATTTTGGTCCTTCTTCAGAATGAGAGCACCTAGCATTCCAGAATACCGCTTTTTTGGCAGGGTTTGACCCTAGATGTTGTGAACATTTGTAGCTGAAATTAGTCTTCAGTTCATTCCAGACCTCCTATTTTTAACTGGCTTGCTTTTCGGCTCTTTCGGCGCCCCACCCCCACTACTTGTAAATGGTACCATTAAGGGGTTAATGATCTAAAGTGTTTACTCCCTGGAGAGCAAACAATGTTTAATGCAGAATTGTCCTGATGGAATTTTTATATGTGTGTGTGTGTGTGTGTGTGTTTAAGCACCTACTGGAAATCCTGTTAGAAAAAGCCCACCAACTTACCAACTTGCCTTGCAAGGCTCTTCTTTGGGTAACAGATGAACATTTCTGGTGACACAGTTTCAAGTACTTCAGGTCAGTGAAATGGAGCTTCAAGGCCTGTTCTGGGGAGATTAGTCTGTGTGTGTGTGTAGCATCCTGGTTGATACTCTCTGAGCGTTTCCCATTAAAGGCTGCTGCTAATAATGGTTGGTTGAATCAATTGAGCCAGAAATGGTGATAAGTTGTTTACATAATTATCTCATACAATCCTCAAGATAGCTCTTTGCAGTAGGTGCTACAATTATAACCATGTTCTGTTAAAAAAGGAGATTTTGAGAGGTTAAAATCCTTTGCCCCAAATCACACTGATGGGAGGTAGAGCTTGTTGTTCCTAGCTGGTCACATCACCTCTACTGTCTTAGACGTAGGAATGCTAATATCATGGGTGAAGACTAAGGGATTAAAATGTTCCCTTCTAATCTGAAGCATAAATTTAGGTCTTTAATTTCATCTTAGATGCACTGTAGAGGTTTTGGACCACTTAGCTCACTGATGTCTTACCCACTTAATTTCCAACATGGTCAGTTGCCACATTGACACTGGAAGCACACACCCCTCAATGTATCTGGATGAATGAAACCTTGTGAAGGTAGGAGAGAGTAACCTAGGAGTTTGGGGAGGTGTGCCTAGATTCTAGGGACGTGCATCTAACTCACCTTCCTCTCCTGATGGCTAGGGGGAGAAATGAGCATGTGGTACATGATAAGGATTTCCAACATCCAGGCCAGAGAACATGAGGGTGATGGTGTGCTGTTTTATCACGGGATGAATTGAGCACTTTGGTGGGCTGGGATAATCAGAGAGAAAAGGTCCTCCCCAATCCCTCCTCTGGAATTGTGCTTAAACTGTTCTCCTTTTTCTTCTGGAATACTTTCTACCTGTTCCCCCTCCCCCACCATTAATTCTTACTCATCTCTCAAAATTTAGCTTTAAAGTCAGTTCCTTTGGGATAACCTTATTGAACACACACTTCCTTTCCCCCAGGCAGAATTACTAGTTATCTGGAGTCTTAAAGCACTTTGTTTACATCTTAATAACACTCTTATTTTTCTACCTGGAAACAATGACTGTATCTTAAAACTCCCTTCATCTTAAACACAAGAAATTAACAAACGTTAGTGCTAGGAATTGGTGACACTGTGCCTTCAAGAACTTGAAGTATGGTGTTGGTGGGACAGAACAGAAGAAACCCAGGCACTTGAAATCTCACAGGAGTATATACATAAATGTTACTTTTGTTTTGACACATTTCCTGTTTACCCTACTTAAACTTGTAACCCCTTTGCTGAACATTCTTTATGCCTCTGCCCTATCACATTTTTCTTCTTATTGTTTGTTTCCCCTCCTCTCATAACATAGTCCATGTGGACAAGGATTACTGTCTGTTGTATTCACTGACAGATTCCAGAACCAGAGCAGTGCCTGGTAAGTCACAGGTGCATACTGGTATTTGTTAAATGAATTAATGAATGACTTTACCATTCTAGGAATTGGCACTCTTTTGTACTCTTCTGGGCCTGAAACTAAGTCTGCCCAGTCTGTTAACCTGAAAGTGTAATTTGCCTCAGGCCCAGTTCTCACACAGCTTTCCTTGTCCTGACTTTTGCTTTGAGATTGATTTTCTGGTGACAAATTTGACCTAGTTGGAAGTGCTTCCTCTCCCTGTTTTTTTTTTTTTAAGTGCAGGTCTCTGGGTGGAAACTTCTAAATTTTCAACATGGACTTCTGAAGATGCTATGTTTCTTGGTGCAGTTTAGGGAGGCTGCACTGGGATTATCAGATATCCTGAGGCCTTTCAGGTATTTAGCAAGATCGACAAGAGGCTGGAGAAAGTTACTCTGCAATAGGGAAGTGAACGCTCAAAAGAATAAAAGATGCCACAAGTTAGGGTTCTGGTCTCAAGTTACCCTTAACCTTTTATTATTATTATTATTATTATTATTAGCAGCATAGTATTGTTGTACAGGAGGGACATTGTGACATTTCAATGAGCACTTACAATATATCTTAATTAGATTCACTCCCTTCCTCTTTCTCCTTTATCCCTCCTTCCCCCTTTCTAAGAACAATTTCAATAGGTTTCATTCTATTTTTATGCATGAGTACAATATACTTCTACCATATTTGTCCTCTTTACCCTTTCCTTATGCCCTTTGCCTCCCACTGATCGTCATCCCTAGAAAGGACTGACTTAAGCACAATATATTTCCAGGTAAAAAAACCTTAGCCTTTTAAGTAAAAGTGATTGTGGGATTATGAATTTATGGAAAAACCATGGCTAAGTGCTACTTGTGTAGTACTTGACTAGTTTTATATAGGATTATGCTTTGTGAGGAACCTACTATGTAACAAAAAGATGCTGTTTTGTTTAGATGTGTCTTGAAATGCTCAGAAAGAGAAAACAGCCAGGATCCCTTTAATGACAGACTTGTGGAGTTGGGCCCTGGAAAATTGGTAAATATGTGATTCTCACCACTTAATGTATTCTAACCTCTTTGAAACTCAAGTTTGTACAAAAAACTGCTCGCCCTCTTCTAAATTTATCTCTCCAAAGTTTGAACATTCCAGAGCTTAATCTGGAATTTTTCTCCATCAAGAATCTTTTCTAGAGGTTCTTATTCAGTCTCATAGCTTTAAATAACATCTATGTAGAAAGTCATCACTCGAAATTTATGTCTCTGACCTAGGCCTTCTTCTAGCTACACCCTCATATATTTAGTAACTTAATTGACATATCTATTTTTCTATCAAGCAGGTATCTCAAATATAGCATGGCCAGCACTGAACTCCAGATTTCCCTCACATCCTCAGCCCCTTCCTTCAGCTTTCCTTGTCTCTGTAAAATGGCATCATCATCCATTCAGTTGCTAAAATCAAAAGTTTAGGGTCAGACTTGGTTTCTTTCTTTTCTTACCCCACTTCTGCTTTCAATTCTTGAGGAAATCCTGCTGATGTGATTTTTAAACTATATCATGTAATATGCCACATGCCTCCATCTCTCTCCTATCATCCCAGTCCAAGCCACATAAGACTACCATGAGCATCTGTACACAATGCTTAAGGATATATGTACACAAGTATTTCTTTGGGATAGCTTTCTAGGAAGAGTATTGCTGGGCAAGGGAGATATTAATCAAAGCATAAATAGTCTCAGTTAGCACATGATAAAAGCGAGACCACACAAGTAAGGGGTGAGGATAGGTAAGACACCTAAAAAACTAGCTAGCATTTGTTGCCCTTAACGCAGAGAATCTAAAGCAGATACCTTAAAGCAACTGAGGCCAATAGGAAAAGGGGAACAGGTACTAGAGAAAAGGTTAGATCAAAAAGAATTAACCTAGAAGGTAACACCCACGCACAGGAAATCAATGTGAGTCAATGCCCTGTATAGCTATCCTTATCTCAACCAGCAAAAACCCTTGTTCCTTCCTATTATTGCTTATACTCTCTCTACAACAAAATTAGAAATAAGGGCAAAATAGTTTCTGCTGGGTATTGAGGGGTGGGGGGAGAAGGAGGGGGCGGAGTGGGTGGTAAGGGAGGGGGTGGGGGCAGGGGGGAGAAATGAACCAATCCTTGTATGCACATATGAATAATAAAAGAAAAATGAAAAAAAAAATACAAAAACATGTAGCTATAAAGGCTAAAAACTGGAAAAATAAATACATAAATAGTCTCAGACTACAGAAATAAGTTTTAGTGTTCTATTGCACTGCATGGTGACCATACTTAACAACAATGCATTTTAAAATTGTTTAAAAGAATAGATTTTCAACATTCTCACCACAATAAAAATGCTAAGTTAGTGAGGTGATGGATATTTCAGTTAGCTCGATTGCATTTTTCTACAATGCATATGTAGATAAAACATTACATTATATCCCATAAATTCACACAATTATTATTTGTCACTTGAAAATAAATAAAGGATATATACATTAAAATCTGAATAGCACCCCAGGCAGAATGTCTATCATTAAGAAAACAAACAGCAACAAATGCTAGTGAGGATGTGGAGAAAAAAGAAACTTTATACATTGTTGGCAGGATTGTAAATTAGTCCACTTTTATGGAAGTCAATGTGGGGGTTCCTCAAAAACCTAAAAATAGAACTACTATATGAGCC